AACCCACAGCAGGTCCATCACGTCTCATGACACCCAGGTTCACTGCAAGGTGCAACCAACATGAGTACCGGGCCGTCGATAACGGCTGAGAACGTACCAGGTCTTCGTTCCCATCCTCGTTTTTTAGAAATGGACCCTTTAAGGCCTAGACTGCGATCGAGGAACTTTTTGACTTTGGCTGATGGTAGTGTAGACGCCCCAGCAATTGCACCTGGCGCCAGCGTTCTGATGGTACGTGACCTGGTTACAGGACATCTCAGTATGTATAGGTCGCAAACCGGATAAGTCATACATACCCAATTAGAACATCCTTAGGTGCTCCATTGCTGCGGACGCGTTTTCTAGGTTTACTTCGCGCGGGCTGATCTTCCTTTGCTTTGCGCTTCGATGCTGTTTTTGTGGTTGCAGATGCAAACGCAGAGGTAAAGAGGTGGTCCGGTAGATGGTTTGGATTGGTTTTTGGGCTGGGTTGCTCCTCAGAGTCCATTTCTTCATCGTCATCTTCCGAATTGGGATCGCTCGTCTGCCCCGAGTCTTCATCTGAATCCCCATCTAGACCCGTAAACTCGTCTTCAACCTCATCACTGTCACACCCGTCCTCGCCCAAATCACCATCGTCATCCAATTCTTCGGCCGCCTCCTGCATAGCCCTCTCCATTCGAGCCCGAAGATTCGCATCACCATCATTATTACGTTCTTCTTTCCGCCTGCGTTTGCTGTTCTCTGCCTGCTCCTTCAACTTGCGATCTTTCTCCTTATTTCGCAACTTTCTCTTGACTTTCTCCGCGGCGTGAACTCGTTGCAGCGCGTCATCGCTTTTTTGTATGTTTCGCTTTGATTGGGTGAGTGAAACGCTCTCCGGTGCGTCGTCTTCGCTGCTGGAAGCAGAATCTTCGTGAGATGGAGCCATTGGAATCTGGTATTCGTTGTTGGTTATTATGCACCGAACATACCTGCGTAACTTACTTGGATACTGTGATTGTCAGATTCTGAGGAATCCTTGAAGCCGGTGGCCCGTCTGAGGATGGCAGGAAAAAGTCGATCAATTTTACCACGGTTGATGCCTAAAAATGGTATAACCGAACTATCACCGAACGCGTTTGTGGAGGAGTGCTTATGTGAGCCTAGGTTGCGAAACTGAACCAGCAGTATGAGCTTGCAATGTATCCTTTCTCCGATTCTCGAGTTCTGTGATATGCTTGCTGTCCAGCGAACACTTGGAGTTAATGGATCTACAATTCCCCCATGCAATTCAGACAGAGTATGGCCGTGACAAGACTATACACTTAGCCCCTTGTGTGAAGGGTACCGCACTGCTATCATCTATCATGGTTTGAGAATTTTGTTTCAAGACAACACGATAGCGGTTAATACCCACTCAATAACGGCTGAATCATACTTGAAACCCATGAGTACAAAACTCTGGACACACGTCACTAGTATGTACTTCAAGTCGATACGGCCTCCCCTGCGGTCTGGTCGGATGCCGAGGCAGCATTTAATAAAATTTTACTATGTGAGCCCAGAATTTGCGTGCAAGCATAGCTTTTCCCTCCACTAATGGGCTCCTTGAACCAAAGGCTACCCAAATCATGTTGGATTGATCCTTTCGACGCATACATATTTGGTGTCGGCGTCAATCTCCAAATACCTCTTTCGAGTACATATGACCCATACGGCAGGCGGGAATAGATCCGATATCTGATCGTGAATGTTGCCGCAAGTCTCTACTTTTCCGTCCGAGAGCAATGGAGGACGAGAGCTCAAATTAGTTGTTGGCCGGGAATCTTGATACAAATGGGCTACATCTCAGCTGAGTAAATGTGGTGTGTGCTCGCTAAAGCTGTGCCACATAGATCAAAGATGTAAATATGGAGCAGGAAAGCCTGTGTTGACCTAGGCGTCCTTGTTCTTGGCTCTCCGTATCTCGAGGAGATTGTCCCTGGACTATTCCCGACAGGTTTCGAATTGGTCTAGAGTCACTCTGACTCGGATGTTCGGTGTAATAACTAACCTCCGTGGCGCAACTCACGTGGAGACGAATAGCATTTACATATAAATCCCATAGCCGTGCGCACAAACCAAATCCGCTGTTTTTCCCTTCATAATCCATACCTGTTCATGGCCTCCCATCCAAGCATGTTGCTCCGTCTATTTTTTACGTTGGTCATTCTCGGTCTACTTTTTCGTATAGGACGTTGGGGATTCAGATTCCTTTTGAAAAAATCGCCATTCAAACATATACCTGGGCCCCCACCAGTCTCTTGGTTCAAAGGTAGGAATAGTCATGTCTCTTTGGTTGGGTGTCTTCTGAAGTACTCTCAAGGTAATCTTGGTCAACTCTTCAATCCAAAGGGCGTTCTTTTTCATCAAGAGCTCGTTGACCGATTTGGAGGCATGGTCAAAGTTCATGGATTTTTTGGGGTGAGTCACCACTTTCATCTTCGGCCCGAGGCTGGACCTCAAACGCATAATCAGGACGAACAACTTTACATCTCCGATCCGAGAGCTCTTCACAGTATCGTAGTTAAAGACCAAGACGCCTTCGAAGAAACGGCTGTTTTTGTTGAGTGAGTACCCAAGCATTCTCGACGGCCTTCATCGTATAATCAAGTCTACATCTGAAGAACAAATAAGGCTATTTTTGGCCCGGGATTGGTGGCGACAATCGGTCCGTATATTCTCTCGAAAGATATGAGAAAGACTAATACTTTTTTAGGGGACCATCACAAGAAGCAAAGGAAGATTGTCACCCCCATCTTCTCCGTAACTCAACTTCGGCAGCTGACCCCAACCATATATGAAGTTGCAGACAAGGTATGTCATAACTTGAACCATCATCCGGGTTCCTAGTTTCTGATTCTCCGGTAGCTATCAAGTGTTCTCGATAGAGAAGCTGCGCGCTGCAAGGCAAAAACCGGTCAAAGTGTCCTGGACATGTCTGAATGGATGTCCCGTGTGGCTCTGGAGACAGTAGGACAGACCATTCTGGACTACTCATTCGACCCTCTCGACTCTCCTGCCACCAATCCATATACAGCCGCCATCAAGGAACTTATGTACGTATACAAGTACTACTCCATATCCTGTGGTCAATTTCTGACGATCTAATCCGTGCAGCCCGACCATCTTCTCTCTTTCTCTCGTTCGGCAATTCGCTCCTTTCCTGTCGCGGCTCGGCACTCCCGCGTTCAGAAGAAGGCTGGTTGAATGGATTCCTAACCAAGCCATTCAAAAGGTCAAGAATATGTCGGATGTGATGCATGAAACAGCTCTTGAGATTCTGCGAAGGAAGCGGAAGGACATCATTCAGGAGATTGAAACCGAGTCTCTCGAGTCTACTCCTGCAAAGGATATCATTAGCGTTTTACGTGAGGTCGTGTTCTTCCCCCATCTCATCCTTGCGGCTGAAACCGAATTCAATGCAGTCCGTGCGAACAACCGGGCGACCGCCACCGAAAAGCTCAGTGAGGCAGAGTTGACCGGACAGATGACGTGAGTTGACGTTCACAGGGGACACATAACTCGTGTGCTAACCATAGAATTTTGCTCAGTGTCCTTATCTTTGGGGCGCAGGACACGACATCTTCGGCTCTTTCCAGGATTCTTTACCTCTTGTCAAGACACCCTGATGTTCAAGAAAGAGTCCGGGACGAGGTCCGCGGGAAGCTCCGTCAACAGCGGGCCGAAGGCGACCTTTCAGGGCATTTGAGCTATGACGATATCATGAGTTTGCCTATCCTGGACGCTGTAATTAAAGAGACTCTCAGACTGTAAGTTGTAGTGTTTCTGGACTAGTTTGGGCTGATTAGGCTGACCAACTTCTTGGTTAGGTATCCACCCGTTCCTTTCGTACGACGCACGTAAGCTCAATTTCTGTTCTCTCGGCTGGGTCCGAAAGCTCAACCACCTGCATAGAGCTGTGAAAGAAAGGACTATTCCGTACTCAGGAGTCGACGGAGATCTTCACCCTTCGACGGTCACGATACCTGTCGGAACGACCCTCTTCGTTGGAATCGCGGGCAGCAACCGCCTAGAGTCTGTCTGGGGTCCTGACGCAAAGGAATGGAAACCTGAGCGATGGCTGTCGGAAGCTGCGCCCGCGTCAAATTCTCGAGTACGTTTGCCAGGAATCTACTCTGGAATGTAAGTCAAAGATAGGAAACGGATGAATTACCCCTTGCTCACCGCCTTTGTTTTGCAGGATGTCATTCCTTGGTGGCGGAAGGTCGTGCGTGTGAGTGATCAGTTATCTTCCCTCTACATACAATCGCTGACTTTGATATAGTGGCTACAAGTTTGCGCAAGTGGAAATGAGTAAGCGACTCTTGTGCATGTTGGATTTCATCTTCCATCTGATCTCGTCCCTCAGAAATCTTGCTGTCCGTACTGCTCACCACCTTTGAATTCTCATCGACGAAGGATAAGATTGTCTGGAACCTTTCTCAAATCATCTCGCCGTCTGTGCAAACATCCTGGATGACTCCCGCAGGACTTGTGACGGACGAAAAGAAAGGTCTTCCTTTGGTTGTCCGCCGTCTAGCTGACGAAGAAAATTGATGTCTTGGTCTGCTGATATCTCATTTCTTTCTCTTATCGAATAACATTTACCGTATGTTTCCAACCATTTAGTCAGTGGTCCTTTCGGACAGAAAACCAACATGTAGCCGTAGCATAACCTACTCCGAATTTGTAGTTGAAACCTACGATTTTTTGTAATGTGAATTATCGTATTGTATATTTACTGGGAGTTGAATTATGATGGTGGTTGAAGGACAGGCGTCACAAATGAAAGCAAGGCATGGTGGTTTGGAGGGGCTGGCTGTGCTTATGTAAAAATCACCAACTTGAGGTTCACCTGGAGGCGTTACAAACGGGAGCATGGTTTGGAGGGGCTGCTGTGTTTATGTAAAATCACCCAATCCCCGGGCACAGATCCCAATCAACATATATATTATATCAGCGCGACGAAAAAAGTTAAGACCACTCTCAAAAAGTTAGGGCCTCAGCCGGAATTGAACCGGCGACCTCCTCGATTAAGGTATAAGTGAACCTAGCACCCAAACGAGGAATCATACGACTAGACCATAAAGCCAGCGAGATTAGGTCCCCATTTCTATATGTTATATCAACCCAACGAAAAAGTACATAATGGCGTCAGGCCTAATTAATGTATCTACAGTAGACTAGTTCCTGAATCATGGTGAATGGGACCGCGCCAGTTTCTCCTCCTGGGCCATGGAAATAATTTAAGACAACGCTCAAAAAGTTAGGGCCTCAGCCGGAATTGAACCGGCGACCTCCTCGATTAGTCTGGAGATGAACCCAGCACCCAAACGAGGAATCATGCGACTAGACCATAAGGCCACATAGAAATAAGACCTCATTGTAACCAGATATGTCGAGTCCGCGACACTTGAGTTCGAATTCCTTTACGAACAAGCCACTTTCCATTCGCCTCTTCGCGCTGGCATAAAAATTAATTCTTTCTCTTCCTCCAAATTAATCCAGTTTCTAAACCTATCATCACCTTTGGCCGACATGTGCTGACATTATGACATGCATCTTCCTCAGATAACGGCATTCTTGTCAACATTACAGCTGGTGTTATAATCAAACACCGGTAGATTTTCTCATTCCTTCATTTGTTTTTCCAGGCAACAATGACGGCGTGCTAGGGCCACCGACATAGACTGGGTGACTTGGTACCATCGCTAGCGATTGCAGAGGGCGTCTTCCACCCGACTGCAGCTGCCTAGCCCTGAATCGCCCTCGAAGGGTCATCATTGAAGAACCCTGGCCGAACAAATGGCTCTCTTTCCGAAAACCACGAAACATGCGTCGTGCGTGTGGAGGCTTAGGTCATGTTCATCACTTCTTCAAGTCAAGTCTATTTATCACTGTCAGCTTCGAAATGCCATCTGCTCACCTATTGACGATCACTTATGAGGACCACATCAGCCATCGTCCACAGTCCCTTGCCAGATTGGCACAGAGGACTGTTTTCGGACCATGAAAGGGGTTTGCGGAGACTCGCATCCATTTACGCGTTGTGTTCTAGGAAGTACTTAAAGGAATTGTCATTTCATTTCATTTGTCCCTGAGTCAAGCATTGGGCCGCATGGGGTCGTTCTCCGAACTCGGAGACTTACATAAAAAATAACAAAAAAAGAAAGAAGAACTTGCTTTCGAGTTTCTTTGGGTGTTCCCATGTATCAAGAACCAAGCAATGCGTCGACACTGTATTGTATGGAAAGTTACCCAGAGATTACCTTCAAAACCAGTTCATGAATTAAATAAGTAAGTGACCATGCATGCCACACACATGGCTGGCACCGTTCCCTCCCTCAAGTCAGTACTTGCAAGAGCTGAGAGTCAAGTTATGGACAAAGAGAACCAGAATAAGGGCGGTGGTTACCAAATCAAGCGTTTGTGATGATGTGACTAAAAAATAAAATGGGTATAGATCCGGCGTGTGCCTGTCCGCTTTAGACCATCAAAAGGCCAATCCAAGGCCATCACAAACGCCTTTCATTCCAAACCACTAATTTCTCTGCATCGACGAAGCGCCATGGAGGCTTGAGCTGCTGAGGTCCAAAGGGCCCTCCCCTACTCAACCCGCTTTGTTGTTCTAATCCTTGGCCACTCGACCGATTCTCGGGCGTCGAATCTCATTTCAACCCTTCATAACCCGTATGACAGGGCCTCAGTAAGGCCCACATGGACAACGTTACTCGAGAACGCCAGGAGCTAGAGATTACTGCACTTAAATCGATTTATGAAGAGAATTTCTTCGAGACGCCACCCCCCAAGGCTTGGAAAGTTGGTGGCTTGCTTTTCTGAGCTTTTTGATTGATGTTGACATCCTACGAGGGGGCCGTGCGCTTGCCAGAGTTTACTATCCGGGTTACGCACCCATTTCACGACAAGATCAGCTTTCACCTAAACGTCAAGTAAGCTCGTGCATCTATTACAACTGAGTCATAAGTCTGGAACTTACCGCCTTTTTATAGGCTGCCAAAGACGTATCCCGCCCTCGCATGTCCCATCTTTACCATACAAAAGCCTATTGCAGGCTTGAAAGATGACGATGTTGCAATACTCTCGCACAAGATAACTTCAGAGGCACAGAAGAATCGAGGCACGGAAATGATCTTTGAGATCGTTAGTCTATGTCAGGACTGGATGGAGATCAATATCAAGCCAAAGAATGAAGTGAATGGGTCGCTGGCAGTGCAAATGACTCGAAGAGCTGAGGAGGAAGAGCGGGTGAGTCCACCCACCATCTTACAGTGTTTGACGTTAATGCAAGTTGAAGGCGAGGAAACGCCAAGAAGCGGAAGAAGCTGAACGAGTGGCGCGCGAGGCACTGGAGAGAGAGGAAGAGTTCAAGGAGGAAGCTTTGAGACAGCTAGCTGAGAGGGAACTTCAACACAAAGCTCGGAAGCGAGCTAATTCAGAGTCAACGATGATACCATCTTCTGGAGACACAATGACAGAGTCGTTTCCTCACAATGTAGAAGTCGATGGTGTAACGTTCAACACCGTGAGGTTATTCCATCCTCGACAAGGTATGTCCCCCTCACTTCTCCTGGTCCATACCCGTCCTGACTTGCCTTAGAATCTCTGGGGACAGTGTACATGGCTGATCCCGTCTGCGATGACATCAACACCACGCTTCCATTGGAGCTGTACATCGTCAACTTCTATTCGCAATACTACACCACCAGCCAGGGCCGCAAAAAGCTCAAACAAGTCGAGGCTGAGATCCAGCGTCTGACGACTATCCGACATCCTAATCACACGAGCGTCTTTGCCGTCAAGCTTACCCAGCCCCACTCGAGCGGGCCTTCGCAGCTCATCGTACTTTCGGAACAGGCTCCTCCGCTGACGTTGCAGGATGTACTCGAAGACACCCAGTCTCTACGCGAAGCGCGCGCATCGGTGTGTTCGTCCCTCCTTCCACTCGAACTTCTGGTTAATATAACTGGTATATCAGGAATACCTTGCGCAAATTCTCTCAGGCCTTAATACCATTCATGCAGGGGATCTCGTTCATCGAGGTACGCTAACGAGTGCTTGTCTGTATCGTCACGTTCTCAACCCATACAGGCATCAATGCTCGATGTATTGGTCTTGTCTCTGGCGATCGCCCACACTCAAAACAAGTCAAGCTCGGGAGAGTGGGGTACCCAACACGGTTATTAGACTTACATCGATCCAACCCGTTCGGAACGAATTTGTCGCCGATAGAGGAGCCGCCGATTCCTGAGGGATGGTGAGTGCTCTTCAATCTTGCCTTACGACCAAAGGTTAATGTGGTATGTGTTTGTAGGCTGTCAAGAGAAGAGAAGAACGAGTCGGCACTGCTTTACACTCGTCAACGTGACATTCATGCTGTTGGGATCGTATTACTTCAGATGCTCCTAGGTCTGGACGTAACAGAACGATACGCGAACATTCACGAAGCCCTCCAATCCAGTACGCATCCTTCCCTTCCTCGTCATCATGATCATCATTGCTCATACTCACACCCTCATTAGATTTCCTCTCGAGCTCTCTGGCGCGCCATGCAACCAACATGATCCTTCCTTCCAAAAAGACACATACATCCTGTCTCAGTCTCCTAGGTGACCTCGCAGAGACTTCCCTCCAAAGCAGCAACAGCATACAGACACCTTCTCAAGCCATTACGATACCCTCATCTGCAGGGCTGAAGACGCCCGTGCCGTTTATACATGAGGGCTCGCCGGACATATCGGCGTTCTTTCTGCCCCCGCCGAGGCCGCAGCAAGTGAGTCGGTGGAAGGAGGATTGGGAGGAGTTGGAGCTTTTGGTTCGTGGCTTATCTCTTTTTGTACATCAGCATTCGTATGACGGTTGGGATTAGGGTAAGGGTGCCTTCGGGTCAGTGGTGAAAGCGAGGAACAAGATTGACAACCGTATCTACGCAGGTAAATCACCTTTATTTTATCCTCGTCTCTTCCTCATAATGTCAATCAACGTTTCCTTCCAGTCAAAAAAGTCCGCCTAAAGACCGAAAGCAGCGACGTGAAGATTTTCCGCGAAGTCAATGCCCTCAGCCGCCTCTCCCACCGCTACATCGTCCGGTACTTCACAACCTGGATCGAAATCTCCGACGAACCCGTCTCCTCCAACGTTTCAGACGACTCCGAAGGATCTTGGACCGGGACTGGCTCAGGTCTGACTTCCGTCCCAAACTCAAGCGAGCGCTATCTTCCCCGGAACGGCGGAGGTCTAACAATTGATTTCGATGATTTGACGGATCGAAGATCGTCGTCGTCTAAATCGTCCTTCCCAAGTATCCACTTTGATGCATCGACCTCGCCTGGGACGGGCGAGTCGAGCGGGAGCGACGAAGAAGGGCTGGAGAACTTGTTTAGGCCAAGGATCCCTGTTACGCCGCCGCCGATGCAGACAAGGACGTTGTATATTCAGATGGAGTTTGTCGAACGGCAGACGTTGAAGGAGGTACGCCTTAGTGGAATATATGCGATGATTGTATGGCTGATGTGTCTCAATAGCGCATTGATGAAGGGATCACGCAGGACGAAGCATGGAGGCTCTTCCAGCAGATCGTTGATGCCCTTGTTCATATGTCGACCCTTTCAATCTTGCACAGAGATATTAAGCTCACCAATATCTTCATTGGTGAGGATCCGTCCTTTCGTCTCCTTTAGAACCTAACATCCTTTTCCTCGCAGATGCTAAAGGAGACTGCAAAGGTTCGTATCTATGCCTCAAAAAGTTAAGCAACATGACTCACTCCTTTCTTAGTCGGTGACTTTGGACTTGCCACTTCCAGTTTGGCTGCTGTGGACCCCTCGGATGTGTCACCCAAAGTGATAACCACAGAAGACATGACCCTCGGTACGGATATGGATCTTGCTCACTGCTGCCTACCACTGACGTGTTTCCCAGAGGTTGGAACAAGGCTATACATTGCCCCCGAAGTCCAGTCGCGAAAGCGGGGCCCCAGAAACCACAACAAGGCGGACATGTACAGTCTCGGAGTACGCCAAGCATCAGTCCCGTCGCATCTCATCTCTGACTCTTCTATAGATCGTCTTCTTTGAGATGAATTACACCTTCTCGACGGGCGCCGAACGCATTGCGGTTATCGAAGATCTGAGGAAACCTGGAATCTTCTTCCCCGATGGATGGGACCCTTCTCGCCACCGTCAGCGTGAAAGTGAGTAGTGCTCCACTAGCCATCCCTGATACCCCCTTGTTCAACTATGCCAGTTATTACATGGCTTCTTCAGCATCGCCCAGAGGACCGGCCCACAGCTGTCGAGCTCTCGCAGAGCCCTCTCTTGCCTTCAAGAATTGAAGACGAGTACTTC